AAAAAAAAAATCCAATCAATTTTCGGACAGTTCCTGTATTCATTTGCATATATATCCTTAAATTGGCTTGCAATCAATTTAGGTTTTGTGCATTTGGATGGGGAAATATGTGCTACTAAAAAAATTCCTTGTGCTACCAAATTTTTTTGGGGGGTGCCAGAAAATTTTGGCAGTGCTACCAAGAAAAAAAGTTAATTTCAAGCCCTGATTTCCCATTTGAATTTGTATATTTAGGCAAATTAATACCTTCAAATTAAAAATTTGAATAAGAAAAAAAACCCAATTAATTTTCGGACAGTTCCTGTATTCATTTGCATTTTTTTTTTTTCTATCTAGTTTTCGTTGGAAGCTAATATTTTTGTTTGATCATTTTAAATAAATTATTCATAATTTTATGTAAATTTTTGAGGTATTTTCCTGTCTTTTTGACTGATGACAGTACTGTACATCTTTAACAAATAAGTATCTAAATTAGTCGGCTTCCTCTCCCGATTCCACTTCATTACTAACTTCGTCTGAAAACACTCCATTTGAACAATGTCCACAGCAAACCCCACAAGCATAAACACATAATATCACATTTTTAATGCAGCTACACCTCATGATTTGGCATTGCCTCTCCCCTTTCTGGCAGTTGCAGCAAATTCCTTTTAGAAGTCTGTCTGGAGCAACACCACAGGTAAGCATCTTCGGTTTAAGTTTCGTATTGGAATTAAGCCCCTTCCAATGGGTTCACGAATGGAGGTGTTTAGATGTTTCCAAACTATAACCTGATGATGCACACGAAGGGAATGCTGTGATGTTGCTCGATCTGGATCAATTTTGCCACTAGCTGCTTGCTTCTGAAACTTCAGATAACGAACCCTTTCAAGAGGATTATCCCCACACCCATATGTTATCTGCATTGCTTTTATTCCAGCTTTTCAGATTGTGAAACTTGTAAATGCTGTTATAACACTGGTAGGGTAGTTGCATTTGTAAAGAGCACATTTCGTATGTCCAAAAATGCTGGAAACTGGTGTCATTTCCAGACCAGCCGTACTTAAAGAGAAGCTCTTCCCTGTTTGCAATGTGTATAGTAGATATGTCATATCAGGCAATCAACGTTAGATTGCAAGTAGAGATTGGAACAGTTGCTTGGCTGATGGTAGCAGAGCAAAACTAATGTGTCTTGTGCGACAACAACTGAAACCTTAACACTTGCGACAAAGTCTATTGCAGTCTTTACAATGAGCATGTCACCATCATCTTTTGCTTGACGTACAGTGTTATAACAGCATTCACAAGTGGTAGGCATTGTTGCTCTTGGTGATCGCCAATTTTCATTCATGCATGTGCCCCTTTGGTTTTGGGAACGGGAGCTCCATGATCTCTTTTGTCTATTTTCAAATTCAATTAATATACAATGTTTATTTAAGTTTTGTCAATTAATGCTGGGATGCCCTCGAAAGTGATTAAGTTCACTATTGGTTTCCCCCGGGTATTAATTTGATTTCTTTTTGTACTGTTTTACTGTTCATTATTATTTGTTGTAAATGTTTACCAGAATAAATAAATAAAAAAATAAATAAATCTATAGTTACAGTAAGTTTTAAGCTGTAATTTCTATATTCTCAATATACTTATCTAATACTCTATGTTCAACTATTTAAAACCAGCTTTAAAAATGACGAGTAAAAAAAAAGTCATACACTGAATGCCATTTGTGTAATATCAATTCTTAACATTTTGACCTCATTTTTTGAGGTGATGCATTGGTTATGAGGGTCCTTTTATATTATTTTCTTAGTTTTTACATTATTCTGTGCATTTTGACACCATATATCATAGAGTGTTCCCAAGATACATGTTTTAGTGTTTTAGGTTGGGTCAAAGACCTTTAAAAGAGAACTAGCAAAATGATTTTTTGTTCTAGAGTGGATTTTTGATATGCCATTAATAATAGAATCAACCTTAAAATTGTTCTTTGGCTATTTTTTAAGTTATAGGCGATTATATACGATTTTACCATGACGTCACTGGCGAAAAGGTAACAAAAGATCGTGTAAATAGCGCCGCGTAGGGTATCCACCGCGTACGATCTTTGCGTGCATGCTGTAACCATGGAGTTATTATTAATACCTCCATGCTGTAACAATCACAATTTACAGCCATGGTTACAGCATACACGCAAAGATCGTACGCAGCGGATACCATATACGCGGCGCTATTTACACGATCTTTTGTTACTTTTTCGCCAGTGACGTCATGGTAAAATCGTATATAATCGCCTATAACTTCATTAAAAAAAGCCAAAAAACGATTTTAAGGTTGATTTTATTATTAATGGCAAATCAAAAATCCTCTCTAGAACAAAAAATCATTTTGCTAGTTCTCTTTTAACCTCAAAAACGTAATTTCCCCACTCTCTTATACCTCCTAACTTTGTTTTGGTGTTATTCTAGTATGTATACCTACACAAGTCAGTTGAAATCAAATTCATTGTAATATTTTAAAATGATATATGCCTATTTAGTGACTAAAAATACAATTTTTGAGATTTTGACCTTTGACCTAATTTTTTAAGGTCATGAATTGATTATAAAGGCTTTCCTTATTATTTTTTTATTTGTTGTATAATTCTGTGCATTTTGACACCAAGATCAACCACATGCCATAGTGTTCCAGAGATACATTTTTTAGTATTTTAGACCAGGGTCAATGACCTTTGATCCCTCATAAAAAATTTTCCTCAGCCCCTAGCCCACCTAACTTTTTTTTGGTGTATCCTGGTGTCCCTACACAAATCAGTTGAAATCTGCTTCTTTCTAATTTTTTCACAGATTGGCCCAAATTTTGGTTAATTTTGGGATACTAATTAAGCATTATGAATAGATTCCTAGCATTATTTAGGCAATTTCTTATCTGCACTCCTGTCATGTGCACAACTCTGTCAAATTCATCTGTTCTTGGAAGGTTGTCTCCATTTGCTTGTATAAGTGAAGTGTTACGGATGTTAAGTGTCATTATCGGTGTCCTCTTTTTCTGGTTGATATTTAATCCAACTTGTTGGGCAAAGTTATGCAGATGTGAGGTTTTCTCCTGCATGTGTTTGTGAGAATGCAATAATAAGGCTAGGTCATCAGCAAAGTCCAGGTCCTTCAGAATTGAGAAGAGACTCCATCTTATGCCTCTTTTCTGGTCTCCTGTTGTCTGCTGCATCAATGGTTACATTGAAGAGAAGAGCTGACATCACACACCCTTGTCGAACTCCAGTCTTCACATCAAATTTGATGTCACTGTCCCCAACCCTGCATCTAAAATTATCATAGAAGCTCTTAATGACATGTACGATCTGTTGAGGAATTCCATACTTCGCCATAAACTCTCTCTGTGGATGCTGTCAAAGGCTTTCTCAAAGTCTACAAAGCTGATATAGATTTGCATCTGCCATTCAGTACACTGCTCTATAATGTTGCATAGTGTAAAAATCTGATCTATACACCCTTTTCCCTTTCTGAATCTTGCTTGTTCTGGTCAGAGTTGCTTGTCAATAACATCCGTTATCCTTTGTTATATTATTTCGGCAAGAATTTTGCTTGGTATAGACAGTAAAGTAATCCCACGCCAGTTGTTGCATTTCCTGGGTATCTTGATTATGATTCCTTCTGTCCAATCATCAGGTATTTTCCTACCTTATGGTTTGTGAAGATTGACAGTTTTAAGCTGCCTGTCCAGGATCATGATGTGGTCTATTTGGTTTTTATCTCTTCATTGGAGAGACACTCTTTGCACACAGACAAAATCGTTTGTAAAGCAGAACTCGGCTAGTCTCTCTCCATTTTCATTCATGGTGCCAACGGCCCTGTCATAGCCAAAGTTGTCGTACCCAACTTTGGCATTTAAGTCTCCCATTATTATTTTCATGTCATGTCTTGGGATTTCGCTCACTTCAGATTGAAGTAGTTTGTAGAATCCATCCTTCTTGTCATCATCGTTATCATTAGTAGGGGCATAGCACTGAAAGATAGTTGTGTTGATGTTTCGTCCTCTAAATCTGAACTTAATGAGTCTGCTGTTGATTGGTTTCCACTCCAGAATACTCTCCTCTGCTCCCTTCTTCAGAATGACAGCTACTCCTTCAGAGTGGTGTTCATCATCTCTACCTGAGTATAACATTGTCTCTCTTGTGTTTGTTTCGAGACATCCTGATCCTGTCCATCTGCACTCACTTACGCCAAGGATAAGTAAATGATAGCGTACTGTCTCATCTCTGCTGTGACCTGTGCTAATTTGCTCGCTTCATACATTGTACGCACATTCCAGAATCCTATTCTGGTCTTGTGTTTAGCATTCAGGACTCCCAATCTCCTGCTGGTGGCTTCCTTTCAGCTTTCACTGCCGCCAATCATACTGGTACTCCTGAAAGTCCATCATGCCTGGTAATTTCTGTTGCTTTAGTTGCTGTTTCCATAACAAAGGTTTTTTACAGGTCAGGGCTGTCAGCCCTGAGTCCAACACCCAACCTGGAGGACCAGGGATCACAATTTGTCTGGCCTCTATCCATCGACCTGCCCAGCATGAGTGAACCTACCGGCATAGCTCCAGAGGTCATTGAGACACTCAAGCTCCCTCAACCGAGACAAGGTTGTGATCCTTCGGTGATTCCCTTGGTATAACTACTTAAAATTGGCCCATGAGTTATTGTGGTAGTCACTCTGTGTGCATTGAACCTTGAAGATGTCTTAAACCCCAGTTGAATTTCCATCACTGCTCTCCTTGTATTTCAGCTAGAGGGCTGAAATGCAAATTACGATAGCACACCGTCTTTTGGATGAGACGTTAAGGCTGCTGGTCCCGTGTGCATTATGGCCCATGTGTATGTTAAAAAATGCAGTACACTCTTCGGAAAAGAGTAGGGGATTGCCTCCCGGTGTACTGCCTAATCACCACCAGGACTCCACTGGAAATAAGCCTTCTTCAGACTTTCGTGGGTTATCCTTGGTGTTAAATAAATCCAATCAAGGGGTCCGAGGTGGGCTTATACACAATAACTACTGTCCACTACTCCAATAAATTTCTGTAAAAACAGTTTCCTAACAGATTTTAACTGACAAAAAATACAAATACATTAACACTGCATGTAATTACTTGATAATATCTTGAATCTGTTAATTGCAGTATAGGCGGTACCCAGAAAAATAGCACACAGAATGTCATGATTTTCTACCGAAGGAATTACTTCAGAGTGTAATCACTTCAAAGTGTAATCATAAGGATGTACTGTATGCAAGTTTAGTTAGGGATAAATCAAAATTATTTTTGTATCACTAATATAATGGTAATATGAACTGTTCTATAAAAACTATACTTTTCTCAATAAAGTATCCCTGTGTAAATTATAATACAGGTATATAAATATAATACAATATAAATATTTAAACTACTGGAATGTCGAATTGCTAGTTGTATTACTAAGCTTGACAGGTGTATAGGCATCAGGTGGTGTTTCAACTTCTGACCACTCAAACAGGTTGTTATCGATGAAGTCCTTAATGAGGTCATTGACCTTGTCAGGTTCCTCCAACATCACCATGTGGCCAGCTTCTACAGTTTCCAATTTACAGTTGGGAATTGTCTATTCAAAGAATTCAGAAAAGAAGTTATTTTTACTGTACTCCAGTTGAATTTAACTTGTTTAATGTTATCGTTAATGAACAAAAATATAGTTTAATACTGTTGTACTATGCAACATTTTATTTTGATCTTTAATATCAATTTTAAAAGACTAATTTAATAACAATATTATTCACAATAAATTATACTTAAATTTATCTTAAATTAAATCCCATTATAAATCTGTAATTTGAACTAATAAATCATTCATTCATTCACGTTCATTTACATACTGTATGTAACGACAGTTGAATAAATGATCTGTTAAGGTAAATTTCAACAGACTAATTTATATATTAGTGAGCCACACGATGCCACTTAAGTGCTTACAAAGCTAATAGGGACTTTTAGATTTGCACGTCGACATAGTGGACTGCTACGTGATGAGGTCATTTTAAGGCACTGCGCATGCGTTATGTCGTCTCCCTCGTCCACTACCAAAATCGAGAATGTGTTCACCTCGTTTTTCCCGTCGTCCTAAATCTAGGAATATAGTGGCAACGCTGCCGTCACTAGTTCGTCCAACTGAGGCAGAGACAGAGTCTGGGGGAAGTTTCTAACTTGTGTTGAATTAATATGTATTATTTGCTTTTTAATGCACAAGCAGTTATGTAATTTCTACTGCCTTCGTAAACACATAAAAGGCTGTGGAAGTTCATGAGCGTGCTTACGCCAGTGTGCATGCAATGCAAACTTGCACCACAGCGAGCGCAGCCGGCCGGGGAGGCCTGTTAACTATCTGCATCATCGCAGTTGACGCACCGGATGCGCCCTGAAGTATGCATTACATTCATCATCGTTGTACTTGTCTAGATCAAATTTCTGATAATCTCGGTACCTGAATTCGGCATTTGTGGGTTTATTTGTATTGTATAAAAACATGAATTCCTCATCGTCCAAGACACCTGTAGAATATGCAAAGACGACAATTTCGCGAAGTCGAAGAAGGTTCGCCATGACACAGCTGCTTAATAAGGTTGCCCTAGCGCGCGCTACATGTCGACTGAAATCTAAAAGGTTTTCATTTGTAGTCAACAGGTGAGCATGACTAGTCGACGTGAACCAGGTCCACGTCCACACAATCTAAAAGTCCCTAATGTTAGATAGTTGGGCGGTGGCCAGCATATACTGGAGCTGTTCAGAACGTATGGATCCGATTTTGTAAAGTATAGATAATTTGTAGCCAGAGAATAAATGGCATTGATTGAAGTAAACTGCAGTCTCAGTGTTGTATATTAAAGTCAACTCCATCGTACGCGTCAATTATACTGTAATTGAGTTGGAGCTCTTCAATTTGAATCATGATAATGATCTTGTATCACGGAGGTGTTTCAAAGACACCCAGCCAGCCTAGACCACCAGAATTGTTTCCAAAGTGAGAAAAAAAAAATTTTTTAAAGGGGAAACAGAAAATTGCATTCCAATTTAAGTTTGAGAGTTCCATTTTCAGCTATCTAGAATTGCCATTAGTTAAAATTCTGTTAGGTTAGCCCCTCCATCTATAGCATTCCCTACCTGGGACCCCTTATTCCCAATTCCTGAATCTGCCACTCTAACTCTACCAGCACAATATATAAATTTACAATAAAATCTAACCTTCACCATCTCGTCTTCCTCATAAAGGCTTATAAATTGATCCTGCATGCCATAGATGAGCAGAACAGGTGTGTTGATTTCGGCATGGTAGCTCTTGTTTCCCTCAGCCCAATCTTGTCCTTTCATCATAGCATGGAGAATATTTACTGGGGCGTTGAAAGAGTTATCCTTGTCTGACTGTGACTGCTTTTTGGGATCTTTGAAGGCACGTCTGTATTGAATCATTGAGTAATAATTCATATTAATTTAATAAGATTTTAAATATGGTGCTTAGTTAGTTGGACCCATTTCAGAGCTGTAGCTGTAGAAAATAGAATGGTGGATGGTAGACATTTTAAGGGTGGTGATAACATTGGTAAACTCTAATACGAGTGGATTTTAATGATGGGCAAGGTGGTTAAATTTTTTTTAAAGTGAATTGAGGGCCATGAAAGTAGCTTTAGACTGGGTGGAAAACTACAAGGCTGGGTGGCTCCAACCTACAACATACTTTGCCTTTATTTCATGTCCAATTATTCACTTCCTTCAGATACCGAAAGGTCCACTGATTAATCTCAGAGAAGATAGTATAATACATACTCCAAGTATTGAAATGCACGCCATCAAGTCAGGATTTACAGATACCCATTATACTCCTAAGTGAGAAGGGTAAAATGTGTCCAGCTCAATCACACAAGCAGTAACCAAGATCGGTTTCAAACTTTTTGTTTGACAGAGAGATATGCCATGGTTTCAAAATATCAACAAAGGCCATATTAGTCCAGTGCCTAAGCATGGTTCGAAATAACGCAGGTCCGCCGGCGATGGCTAGTTAATTTAATCCCAATAACAAGTCTGCTTGACCAGTTAAAATTTCAAGAAAAATTTGACCTACCTATACCTATAATTTTACTCATTCACCTCTGAATAAGATGACCTCAGATAATGTAAACAAGATCGCTATTTTCTGTACCTCATTAGTCATGGTAACGTCCCTAACAACAGCCTTGGGCTCAGCAATTGAATGCCAACATCACGCACTAGCTAGACAGAGAGGGAAATCACCTTTTCCAGCCTCTGCTTGTCACATGTTACAGCGACAAAGGCTGGAGAAGTTGATGTCCCTCTGTGTGAGCACCGCTAAGTTACATCATCCATGTTATGTATCCGTCCCACAATTATACAGGGCTGATTGGGAACATCAATATCCAAAAAGAAAAAAAAAACGAAAAATGAAAAAGATGTCATGGCTGCAGCATGTAAGGTTTGTAGGCAGATATATACAGATGCGGCACTGACTGGTCGGAAGAAAAACATTTTCTTCAAGGGTACAAATAATTTCAAACTGGATTCAATTAAAGAACATGACAAAAGTGAAAAATACACAGTTGCTTTTGATCGCGAAAAAGCAAAATCAAGACCCGCTGGAACATCTCAGGCGGAAAAAATGATTCAAGGAATGAATATGAAAAATATAATGAATAACCTCATCATTTTATTTCGAAATGCACACGCCATTGCCAAGTGGCACTGCAGACCTGTCACTGATTTGAAATGGATGGCAACCCTGGACACGGCAAAGGGAGTAGATGTAGGTAGTAATTACCGAAATGACAAATCTGCTCAACAGTTCATACATTACATAGCCGAGGTAAGTTAATTTAGTGTACACCAATTAATTTATTTTGGCTAGGCCTAGCTTCTTACTTAGTTCAGGACCTAGGCCTAGCCTACATAAGGTAGATAATAGGAAGACCCAAGCATGATCGCGGGTTTTCAACTGACGCTGAATATTTATCATTGATCCAATAGATTATAATAACTAACTAGACCTAGGGTGAATGTATTGTACAGTAAAGTGCACCTACATAGTTGGTAGGGCCACCTTCAATTTTGGAGTGGCTGAGTGTTTGGCAGCAATCATCGGCATGCTTCAAACAGCGCTTTCTATAGTTGTTCATAATCACGACCTTACCTTTCTTGATCGATTTAATGTATCGATTGGCTGCGCAAGATTAATACTTTGCATGCCATTGCTAGAAATTTTGTCCTCATGAGGTTCCATCCTCCTTTACCAAAATTTGCCTCTTACAACCAGGGTGTAGTGTCCTTGAGCTAATTACAAGCTCCACAGGATATCAGATAAATGTTAAGTAATTAGATAAACAGAATAAATTTTCTCAGGCAGACAGTAAACTGGAACTACTTTCACAATACTCAATGCACACAAACACAAATGTTTAACAGAAATAATAAAATAAAATGCAACAATATCATCCTGTTTTTGTTATAATTTATTAGAAAAAAATTCAAGGTGTTGTTAAACAGTTTTTTTCTACGGCTTCAAAAACTGCTTGGAAAGCCAAAACTTTGACTGAAACAGGCTATAGCAGACACTAAATTTCATGTACGTCGTCAAACCAAGGAATTGGTGGTTCATAAAACAGATTTGTTTGTACAATAACTATTTATAATAGGCATGCAGTACGTACGATTTGTGTACAATCGTCTTGTCTTTCTCGCCTAGACGTTTCGTAGGCTAGGCCTAGGTAGGAATGACACTAGGCCTCGGCCTAGTCAACAAAGGCCTACAACATCGCCAAATTGAAGCCACGTGGACCGCGTAGATGCTTGACTAAATCTATTATTTGTCTTCATTTTACAGTATTATTGTCATATTTAAAATGTTGTTTATTATCTAAAAACAACATAATTGTAGGCCTAATCCTACCGTCTGTTTAAACGCAATCAGGATAATTTCGTGACTTCACAACTAACAAGTACATGTGGGAAAACCCTGATTAATCATTCTGGGCATGCGCATGGACATGCATGGATATGTAAGTTCGAGCGTTCGGAAAAATCGTAGTTAATACTATAGGCCTAGGTAGTAAAAAATTGCCGAGGCTGCTGACATCTGAGAATTTAAGGTCGGAAAATTTTTGCCGACCTAATTTTTTTCATCTCTCAGTACCGTCAACCACTGTTTACAAATTTACAACATATGACGACACGATCAAAGCAAGCGCTCTTTTATTATTTACTGCTGAAGTTTTTCTGTCATTACGCTGGCAAAATAGTTCCCAATTACTGTTGTATTATTTTCATTTACAACAAACAATTATATATTAAACGATTCGGACATTTAAAGTAGTTTCTAAATATTTTACACACTAATTTTCATCACTAAAAATATTACTAATAAATGGATTCAAAGTGAATCACGTTCAAACCAATATATTCATCCGCCTTTTTCAGAAACTTCATGTCGTCGTACGACGGCGCCTATACCAAGTCAGCCTAGGCTAGGCCCATTAATAGCCCTGTACTTTTGTAACTTCTCGTAAAGGGCTCGTTTTTTACGATTCGAACTCGTAGGTAGGACAGTTTTTTCTGCTAAAGACAAATGTTAACATATTTCATACGATTTTCAACAAAATAGATTTTTTTTAATTTTTATAGTAAACTCAGTAGGAATTGATTGTTATTGCTATGGCAGCACCCCTCTGAGATAATGACTTTTCCAGCCGCGATAGCCCTTCATGTACCGCAAAATTTTTGCCGACCTAATTTTTTTCATCTCTCAGTACCGTCAACCACTGTTTACAAATTTACAACATATGACGACACGAGGTCTAGCCTTCCTGATAATTAGAGTATAATTAGCTATGATAAGAGACCCTGGTTTGATTTCCCGAGTTTTCGTGGATAAGTCGGGTTTTGTGGTAAAGGAGGATGGAACAGCATGATTGAAACAAAAGAGTTATTTTGAATATACTTTAAGCATCAACAAACTATTCAATATTTGATAGCAAACTTGTTTTAAAAAATGTTTTTTGTTTCAGGTCCAAAGAAAAGAACTTCAGCAGAAGTTGGAAAACACTAAATTTTTCTCAATTATTTCGGATGGAACCACAGACAAATCAATAACAGAAGCAGAGATTGTGTATATTCGCTTTGCAATTGAAGGTACTGCTTATACTGAATTTGTTGCATTTAAAAACATACCAAATGCTGATGCTCCTTAAATTAAACAGGCGATAGTTTCCAGTGTGCAGGAGTATATGGGCATTGATGAGAATTTACTCAAACAGAAGTTGGTCAGCTTTGTGACTCATGAGGCAGCAGTCATGCTTGACAAAAATAATGGCGTTGCCAGGCTTATGAAAGATGAGTACACTCCAATCTGTTCATTGCACAGCCCATCGCCTGGAGTTGGCATTAAAAGACAGCATTAAGTCTGTGGATAACACCACACTCAGTTCCTTGATGCTCAGTCTCTACTTGTTTTACAAGCAGAGCTCCAAGAAAAGCAGTGGTTTGAACCTTGTGGCTAAAGCAACAAACACAAAAGAAGCATTACTGACACGTGTTGATGGAACGAGACAGGTACGACATCTTCAGAGGGCATTACAGCATATCCTCTTAGGGAGCATCGCAAAATAAAGCAACGCGTATACGAGTGGACCACTCGATGCGATTAAAGGCAGTTTAATCCCATAGTTGGCCACGCGTTGGGATTATTTTCCTGGGCTACTCCACTTCGTAGTGGGGAATTGATAACAGGCTTAGTGTAAAAACCCAATTAGCACAAACAAAAACGTCTCGTATAAAAATAAACCCTATTGGAGGTAACGCAAGCTCACGTTATACAGTATTTCTCAGAATTACATTATTAATTTATCGAGATTATTGTCACCGTTACGATCAAAACCAACAGACAGCAGAAATATAAAACTAGGAGAGGCCTAGGACATACATATTACAGGGTTCGTACGGGTCATGGAAAACCTGGAAAGTCATGGAATTTTAATATTATGTTTTCCAGGCCTTAAAAGTCGGGAAAAATATGGGACAATAATTAAAAGTCATGGAAAGTCATGGAATTTGGTAATATTACAGTATGTGATATTCGAATATGTTCTCACTAGAAGTGTAAATAAATAAATAAAAATATTTTAACTATTTTCTTCCCGTGTTTGCCTTCATTCGTAAAAACTACCGATTCATTCTGAAAATTACGAGTTCAAGTGCAAACACAGAAACAAAAAGTATAGAACTGCGAGAGATCCGACTGCCGTGGTTTCATTGAAACGCAATCCTATTTCAAAAAGTACTCCCAAAGATGGGCGTGTCTCAGAAGACCATTTCGAGCGAATGCTTTCAAATTGAAATTAGAACGCCACCTAGTTTGTGGATGTACATTTTTTTAATGTTGCATCGCTTGCATACAAAATCATTGCAGTCGGACCTCTTGCAGTTTATTCTCTTTGATATGGGAATTGGAAAATTCTTGTTTCAAGAGAGGGCGCAATTGGATTAAAAACTTTTAATTGAACTGCGAAATTTGCATGCGAAGAACGACGACACTCACACCACAGGTGTAAATTGTTATAAGAAGTTTTGTTAATTTTTGTAGCGGAATTGAAAAATGCCGGGAAATTGCCACTTCAATGATGGCTGGTTGCAGCATCCAGATTATCGTGATTGGATATTAAAAATTAGTTCCAATCAGGACAGCGAGGTGTGGGTTTTGCTTAGTTAATTTTAGTCTTAGCAACATGGGCGAAGCTGCCGTCAAAAGCCATATGAAAAGTGATAAACACAGAAAGAATCAGAAACAACGCGGTAAGTATTCTGAAGTACTTTATTATTATAGTTTAGTATTGTACTACTGCTGTAAATGTTTAAATTTGTATTTTTAATTATTGTGCATCAAAAGGTCCGACCACGGATCAACCGACATTTTCTGGCCTAATAATAGTACTACTATTACTACTACTAGGCCTACCTAGAGATACCTACTAAGCCTAGGCTAGCCCTATGATATATAGGCCTAGGCCAAAGCCTAAAATTTTAAACTGCTCACTCTACGGATGTACCTACTGTATAGCCCTTTTTTTGCAGCCCTAATATATTACTCTATCAGTTGTTTTCTTACCTAACTACTGTAGTTTATTATGAATGATTAATAAATTATATACAACGCAAGATGGAAAGTTTACAAGACGTTTGCTGAGGAAATAATCTTTGTATAATAACTTTGAGATCGTTTTTGAAGACAATACTATTAGTTACAATTTCGCGATTTTCGCGTGGCCTTATATTTCGCGATCGACGTTTTGTCGCGATTTCGCGAAATAAGGGCGCGCGAAAAAAAGGGCTATACAGTAAATGCAATACCACCGTACTTTAAATTAATTATTGTTAATTTCTACAGTAGTACTATTTGCTTCATTCTTTTTTTAGATGGTGATGACTTTCACCATGGAGGTATTATAATGATTCCATGCCTTCACCGATTTTGTTTCTATTGTTTGATTTCTTTTTTCTACTAGACTCATCCTCTCTCACACTTAACGACTCAAGAAAAAGGGAAAAGGAAAAGAAGGAAGGAAAGAGAAAAGGAATGATGGAAGAGTTGGATGGACTGAAAATAAAACAAAGGTGCCTGCAAGCAGATATCAAAAGTTTAACTGGTCAGCAGACAAGTACGCAGAAGAAGCTGAATAAAAGGGAAAATTAACATGTATTTCGAAATCTAATAGCCTCAGACGTACGGCAAAGGAGAAATTGACCCAATTAGAAGAAATTAAGAAACAGATTGATGAGCAGCTGAATGCCATAAAAAATTACTAAAAAGTTCGCAGTGGACAGTAACACCTCCCTTTTATGAAACTCAATTTTTGTGGCGATGACATCGTTACGAACAATCATTTTTAACTACAAAAGTGCTTGAAATTGTACAGAAAAGTCTTCCAAAATAATATAAAATGTTACTTCAACTAAGATAGATAATATTTAAACCAATAAATAACATAAAACTTTGTATAAAGCAAGAAATATGGATCGTTTTTAGCCGACATATTCTATTTTGAATTGTACATGAATGTTTAGCAGGCAGCTAACACTGTAGGAATACAGAATCTAATTTTTGTTTATAGAGGGTGCTGTTCGGATGGCTTCGCGATCTTTGTGAAGAGATTAAAACCAAATGTTTTTAGGGATGTTTTGATTGTTAAATCAATTTAAATGAATATTTCACAGTAAGTACTAATAATTTTGGCTTCTGTACAGTATTACTGCATGTAATAGGGAGATGTTACAGTTGCTGTAATTACAACTGTTCAAATAATAATATATAATAAGATGAAGATTTTTTTTATTGCACACTCTTTATACCATAATTTCGCTTTGCTATGAGATCAACATTTTAAATCTCTCATGTAAAACGGTTCAAAAGTCATGGAAAAGTCATGGAATTCTGGCTAGAAAAGTCATGGAAAATCATGGAAATTAACTCATGAGAAAGTGTATGAACCCTGTATTATACCTCCATGGATAGGTCTATGCTTTGGCTTATTTAGAAAAATTACGGAGTAAAATTAAAAATCGAAAACAGGCAATTTTTATGAATTTTTGTTAGGGCTAATTATATCTTTTTTACAGTTAGTCTTTAAAATTATCATTTCTTGTATCGTTTTAGTATTAATTAAGATTATTAAATAAAACTGTCTAGGACGACAGACAGATATCGGTCTACAGTAGGCCTACATTCGATCATGAACTTAGATAGGGTACACTTCCTTCAGTGTTAGCGAAA